GCTAGAACTATAGGCTTGAGCCATTGGTGCCTGGATGCACTGTTAATATTTTGAGGTGTTGACAAATGAACAATTGGAACCTGCTATGTAGGGTAATCGTCCTGGTTTCTGAAAACCTGACTTCTCACTGCTAAATAGGAATTAGATGGTATTGGAAAGTCTGAAATTGGAGGGAAGGGTTCAAAACTATAACAGAACCAAGCACTGGTGGCTCATGCCTATAATCCAAGCTACTCAGGAGCTGAGATCTGTGGATCATGATTCAAGGCCAGCTTGTGCAGGAAAGTACATAAGATTCTTATTTTCAATTAATCACCAAAAAGCTAAAAGTGGAACTGTGGTTTAAGTAGTAAGAGCCTTGAGTGAAAAGGCTAAGGGACAGCACCTAGGCCCTGAGTTCAAGCCTTAGTTGCTCTGGCATGCACACGCAAACACACACACACACACACACATGCACACACACACATGCACGCGCGCGCACACACACACACACACACAATGAACAGGAAAAAAAATTGATCTCTACAAAAACTACCAACTTGTGTTAGCAAATCTTGGTAAGTAGATGCAGAATCTGATGTGTGGGAAGTGTGTGTGTGTGGGATCAGCATACTTCAGGGAATTCCCTTTTGAGAATAAGAACTGAAAGCATCATCTTATGGTGAGAATTAAAGGACTGTTAGGCAGAGTACAGTAGGAAGAGGTGAGATTCAGAGGACTTAACACTTAAAATAGAAGTGTTAGTACTCATCCTAGAAATTCATGATGGAAGTAGGAGAGAATTATGTGTTAGACACCCACGCCCACCCTGACAAGGTCTTAGGCTGGCCTTAAATGATCTTCCTGCTATAGTCTCTCGAGTTGTTAGAATTCCAGATGTGTACCACCGTGGTGCCCAGCTGGGTCTTGGATAAGTTTGGTTTTTTTCCTGTCTAATTTCATTCTTCCTCTGTTACGATTTTGCTGTGACCTATTAAAATTATTTTTATTGTTATTATAAAGGTAATGTTCAGAGGGGTTAGAGTTATATAAGTCAGGTAATGAGTACATTTCTTTTTGGACAGTGTCACCCCTTCTCTCACTTTCTCCCAGTTTTTCTCTCCCATCCCCACCCTGCTGTGGCCTTTTAATTGGTGGTAGGGGGCTGAGAAGGTGGCTTAGTGGTAGAGTGCTTGCCTCCAATGCATGAGGCTCTGGGTTCGATTCCTCAGCACCATATAAACAGAAAAGGCTGGAAGTGGCACTGTGGCTCAAGTGGTAGACCACTAGCCTTAAACTGAAGAGCTGAGGGACAGCGCCCAGGCCTAGAGTTCAAGCCCCTTGATAGACCAAACAACAACAAGAACAACAACAAGAACAACAAAAAGCCAACAACATTCCCCCCCCCCCCATAATTGGTGGTAGGGTAGTAGCCTCATAGATGAGCTGGCTTAACAGTGAAAAGAGAGCCAGTATTGGGCACTGGTGGTGCATGCCTATAATCCTAGCTACTCAGGAGGCTAAGATCTGAAGGTCATGGTTTGAAGCCTGCCAGACAGGAAATTTTTGAGACTCTTTTTTTTTCTTTTACAATTATGTGGGCAAGATAATGAGTACATTTCTTATCAATCATTGTAGCCTCCTCCTTTGTTTCTCCTTCCCATCCCTTCCTATCTTCCCCCTCCCCCCCCACTCTTGATCCATTCATCTGCTGAGGGACATCTGGGTTGGTTCTAGATCTTAGCTATGGTAAATAATGCTGCAATAAACATAGTTGTGCTGGTAGCTTTTGTGTGGTCTTGTTTGTAAACATTTGGGTAAATGCCCAAAAAGCCCACTCTTGAGACTCTTTTTTTTTTTTGTCTTTTCTTTTTTCTTTTTTGGTACTGGGGATCGAACCCAGGACGTTGCGCTTGCAAGGCAAGCGCTTTGCCACTGAGCTACATCCCAGCCCCACTCTTGAGACTCTTATCTCCAATAAACTAGTCAAAAAATCTGGAAGTGGCACTGTTGCTCAAGTGGTAGAGTGCTAACCTTGAACAAAAGAAGCTCAGGGACAGTGCTCAGGCCCAGAGTTCAAGTCCCAGGACCAGGAGGGGGAAAAAAAATACTCACACACACACACACACACACACACACACACACATCCCAGGTGTGTGTGTGAGTGTGTGTGTGTGTGTGTGTGTGTGTTTTAAGGAGCTAGTGCTAGGGTTTGAACTCAGGCCTTGTACCTTGCTAGTCAAGTACTTAGCTGCTGAGCCATACCTCCAGGCCCTTTCCTACTTTTAAAGATCAATTGAGAAGGCTGGGAAGGTGGCTTACTGGTAGAGTGCTTGCCTTGCATGCATGAGGCCCTAGGTTCAATTCTTCAGCACCACATAAGCAGAAAAAGCTGGAAGTTGCACTATGGTTCAAGTGGTAGAATGTTATCCTTGAGCTGAAGAGCTAAGTGAAAGTGTTGAGGCCCCATGACCGACAAAAAAAAAGATCAACTGAGAAACTTTATATTTTTTTTAATCTTTTTTTTTTTTTGATACTGAGATATGAACTCAAGGCTTTTCAGTTGATAGGCAAGGATTCTACTACTGGGCCATGCCTCTTGCTCTATAATTTTAATTTTGTATGCATACAGTAAATTGACCATTGCCTTTACTTTTCACTGTACAGTTCAGTGGCATTAAAAGCATTCACATTGTTTAACAGCCATCACCACTATCCCTCTCCAGAACTTTTTCTCTTCCTGCAAAACTAGAATTATGTACCCATTAAATAGTAACACTCAGTACCCATCTTATCTCCCCAAGTCCCTGACAACCAAAATTCTGCTTTCTGGCTAAATGAATTTGAGTGCTTAGATACTGCATATAAATAGCATTTATCCCAGCTTTTTTTTTTTTTTTAATGGTGGTACTGGGGTTTAAACTCAGGATCTCAAACTCACTGAGCTTGCTTGCTCTGCTCTTTCACTAGTTGAGCCATGCCTCCAGCCTTGCTTTGTGCTCATCATTTTTTTTTTTTGGGTCCAGTCATGGGGCCTAAACTCTGGGCCTGGGCACTGTCCCTCGGCTCTTCAGCTCAAGGCTAGCGCTCTACCACTTGAGCCACAGTGCCACTTCCAGCTTTTTTCTTTTTGCTTATGTGGTGCTGAGGAATCGAACCCAGGACCTTGTGCATGCAAGGCAAGCACTCTATCACTGAACCACCTTCCCAACCCCTGTGCTGGTCATTTTGGAGATGGAGTCTCATAGTTTTTCTGCCTAAGCTGGCTTCAAATAGCCACACTTAGAATCTCAGTCTCCTGAGTAGCTAGGCTTACTTAGTAATTGGGCATGTTTCCTTTTAAAGGCTTATTTGTAAAATTCATAAAACTCTGTTTTAGGAACTTGCAGTCAAATGATGTTTGGTCTTAAATTATGGTCTGTGATACAGAAAAGTCAATTCTGTATGGCATAATGGCTCATCCTAGTGGCTCACCTGTCTAATCCAAGCAACCCAGGAGGTAGAGGATTGAGGTTTGAGGACAGAATGCAAAAAGTTATTGAGACCCTGTCACAATCAATACACTGGGAATGGGGTATGCTCTGAGTTCCTAGACAGGTGGGAATCCTTAAGTAGAAGTATTGAGGGGTCTGAGGCTGGCTCCAGCACAAAAATGTAAGATCCTATCTAAAAATAACTAAAGTAAAAAGAGCAGGGGCTCAAGGGGTAGAGCACCTATGTAGCACGCAACATAGTCTCAGTTAAAACTCTAATACTAGCGAAGGGATAGGGGAGCAGCCGATTCCATTGTAGAAACAAAATTATACATATGTGAAAATGGAACTATGTCACTTAGGGGGGCAAGTGAGGTTGGGAAAAGATTGTGTGTGTGTGTGTCTGTGTGTGTGTGTGATGCAAAAGGTGACAATGATCCCTATGCATTGTACTTGTAAACTGATACATTGAATTGTACAACTACTTAAAGATAATAAAAAAGAAAAAGAAAAAATTGTTAAAATAGGATTGACTTCTTTATGTAGTGGTACTGAGGTTTGAACTCAAGGCTTCTCACTTATAGACAGGTACATTAATCTCTCCTTACTTGCTGTAATTTCTCCTTACTTGCCCTTGTGAGGTGTTTTAAGGTTTCTTTAGCATTTAATATTTGCTCTAAAAGGTTTTTATTTGCCAAATTAAGTGAGTTTTTGGTATGATGATTTTCAGGTATTCTCGAATAGATCTGAAAGGAGGGTAAAATCAAATTCAGGGGTTTTCAGAGTGAAAGAAAATGTGAATAGAAATGAGAGCTAAAAGATAAAAAGGGGGGACTGGGAAGGTGGCTCAGTGGTAGAGCGCTTGCCTTGCAAGCCTGAGGCCCTGGGTTCGATTCCTCAGCACCACATAAG